GAACATCTCATTTCGGGAAGCAAGGGACTTATATGAACTGAGCCACCCTAAGACATATGCCACGGCGGCCAAGGCCCATGTCCCACCTGAGGTCTCCTTAGACCAGATGACTGGAACGCAGTTCATTAAACTGCTTACATCGTTCGGGCTGTCGGTTGTACCGGCGTCTCAGGTGCACGCCACAGCGTCGGAAACACTGTCGTCCCCCGTCTCGTTGGCACCTTGTGCCCCCTCTGAGGCACAGGCCAGCGCGCCAGTTGTTACCTCGCCGCCCCACCCCACACCAGCCGAAAGCAATGAGAGGACCGTGGCCCGCCGGGGCCGAACCTCTCGGTCTTCGCCAGTAAGCGCGCGATCACCGGCTTCACAGCCGTCCTCCCCAGGAGCATCACGTCCTACAACCCTGAGTGAGACGATGGGACGGAAACTGGACAACCTTGAGCGCCAAGAGGCGGAGAGACGGGCGCGCGAGGCAAAGCGTGCACGCCTTCAGGAGCAGGAGAGGGCAAAGGCAGCCAGTCGGCTGTCGGGTGCGGGCCCCGGGCCTGCTCCCACGGGGGAGGTGGTCCCACTGGCCCAAAAGCGTGTGGAAGCTCCCTCAGGCCCCTCCGACTCGCGGAGAGACCCGTCTATGGGTGCTCCACCACCACCGCCGCCTAGGACCACGGCGTCGCCGGCGCCGGCTCAGTTTAGGACGGGGCGTCCGGAAAAGCGTGGACTGCCGGGGCCGATTTCGCCAACAGATGGCGGTAGTCCCCGGATCCGACCCAGGATCCGCCCGATCTCTTCGGGTTCTGACGACAAAACCAACAACCATGGGCCAGGCTCTAGCGCTGCTGAGTTCTTTTAAAACCTTACAGTGCTTTTAAAGCCTCTTCATTCAGTCAGTTTTACAGTGGAACTGTAGAGGTGTAAGGTCAAGCACCCAGGACTTGCAGACAGTTTTAAGCGCGCACTGCCCGGTAGCCGTGTGTCTCCAGGAGACCAAGTTGGCGCCTGATGCGGCCTTCAGCCTGAAAGGGTACACTACCTTCCGCACTGACATCCAACAGATACCGTTGCTTACGGTGGCGTTCTTTTGGCTGTACACAAAGCGTACCTACGCGGCGTCTGGTGTTGAGAACAGACTAGCAGGCTGTCGCAGCAACGGTGAATTTCAATCGCCGCACCATAACTGTCTGCTCTCTCTACTTGCCAGCTGGGGTTTCATTTCCATCTGGAGGACTACGAGAGTTAGTCTCTCAACTTCCTCCCCCTCTACTCGTTTTAGGCGATTTTAATGCACATCACACTGTGTGAGGGTGTGCTTCCACGAACACTCGCGGGAGGCTATGTGAGGCTCTCGTGCGTGACGAAGGTCTGTGCTGTTGCTCCACCAAGGTACCTGAGCATTTGTAGTCCGCAGTTGGTACCACACTTCACCTGGGATGTTTCAGAGGACCCCCTTGGAAGTGACCATTTTCCGGTCTGGGCTCGGTACCGTGGTGGTACTGTTCTTGGTACTCGACCTCAGCGTTGGAATTTCAAGAAGGCGGACTGGAGGGGTTTGAGACTCGCCTGGACGAAACGTTTTCCAACGATTTGGACTCAGCAACTCCGACTACGGAGGAATTTACGTCTCTCGTGTTGGATGCGGCGAAAGGATGCATTCCGCGCACCTCCGGATGCCCTCGTCGCACCCCTGTACCTTGGTGGAGCGACGAGTGTCGCGACGCTATTCGCGCACGTCGGAGAGCTTTTAGGGCTTTTGACCGGCACAGCAGCACATTAAACCTCTTGGCTTTCAGGCATGCACGCGCGGCCGCACGCCACACTATACGAGAGGCGAAACGTGCATCATGGCGCAGCTACGTCAATTCACTAAATCGCCACACGCCGACGTCACATGTATGGGGCCGCATTAAACGAATCGCTGGACTGCATCCAGCAGTTTCCCTTCCCGTACTGCGAGTGGGAAGTCAAGACATCACTCACCCAAGTGATGTGGCAGAAGCCATTGGGGAAGCGCTGTCAGACCGTTGCCGAAATGGCACCTGCGATCCACGGTTTTTGCGGCACAGGGCACGATGTGAAACTTCGCAGGTTAATTTTGTACAGATGACGTCCTGACGTACAACAAACATTTCACTATGATGGAGCTTCAAGCGGCCATTCGCTCGCTGCGTAGTGTAGCGGAGGGGCCCGACCTCATCCACAATGATATGATACGGCATTTTCCTCCCCGTGTACTACGAGCGTTGCTGGCAGTTTTCAACTGTATATGGGTGTCAGGTAACTTCCCGCCAATCTGGCGAGAAGCAATAGTAGTGCCTATTTTAAAGCCCGGGAAAAGTGGGACGAACGCTCTTGACTACCGCCTGATCGCCCTCACATCTTCGCTTTGTAAGCTCATGGAAAGAATGGTGAATGTGCGGCTCTCGTGGACTTAAGAACGCCAGAACTTTTTCACAAATGCTCAGTGCGGATTCCGTAAGAACAGGAGCACGATCGGCCATATCTTAACTCTTGATACCGCAGTGCGAGCCGGATTTAGTAGCAAGCGTCATACCGGCGCCATCTTCTTTGACATAGAAAAAGCTTATGACACCACATGGAGACATGGAATTATGATGAAGTTACTCGATTGTGGCATCCGTGGTCACATGGGAAAGTTTTTACAAAACTTTCTGACTGACAGATTCTTTCGGGTGCGTGTTGGTTCTTGTCAGTCCGACAGGTATCCACAGGACAATGGTGTGCCTCAGGGCAGCGTATTAAGTGTCATTCTTTTCGCAGTGATGATAAACGACATAGGGGACACGCTTCCACATGGGATCAGCCGTTCTCTGTTTGTAGACGACTTTGCTATTTGGTGTAGCTCATCGACCACTCGCACGATGGAGCGACAGCTGCAGCTGGCTGTCACGTCTGGAGAAGTGGAGTGTGCTCAACGGTTTCCGGTTTTCTACATCGAAGACAACTGCAGTTCATTTCTGTCGTCGTCGCCGTCACTGTCCTGATATGGAAATCAGGCTGTATGGGCAACGCGTCGCCAATGAGAATACCGCGAAATTTCTCGGTATACGCTTTGACCGACGCCTAACATACCGTGAGCACATCAGAAATCTCCGCGACAAATGTTTAAAATCTCTTAACATCCTAAGGTGCGTGGGACGTACGTCATACGGTGCTGATAGGAGGACACTCTTACTCCTATACCGCTCCCTGATTCGTTCAAAACTTGACTACGGCTGTTTTATCTACGACAGCTCATCAGACCTGATCAAACGTACTCTGAACACGGTGCATCACGCCGCACTCCGTATCGCCACAGGGGCTTTTCGGACATCGCCCATAGACAGTCTTCTGGTGGAGGCTCACGAGCCCCCACTAGCATTGCGAAGGCAGATGCTGGGACTGCGCTACACGTGCAAGCTGGCGCAGTTCCCAGATCATCCCACCTACAAAGCAGTGTTTTCGCGTAGCTTACGAAGGCTTTTCCTACGTCAACGGTCACCTAAAACTTCTCCCTTCTGTGTACGAATGAGAGAGCTTTTAGATGCGAGCGGCCTGAACCTACGGCGTGTCATCAGACCTAAACCCATGGAGACTGCTCCTTGGGAGCTAGCATCGCCAAGAGTGGATGTCTCTCTATCAAATATGCAAAAGCAACATGTCCTCATGGCGGAACTCAAAGGCGCAGCTTTAGAGCACATGGCCTCCTTTGACGGGTACAAGATGACTTATACAGATGGTTCGAAGACGGATGCAGGTGTAGGGTGCGCTTTTGTGTGCGGATCGACCACACGGTCATTCACACTGCCTTCACACGCGTCGGTCTACACTTCCGAGCTTATAGCCATTAGCAAAGCTCTCTGTTTTATTGAAGTGGACGATAGCAATCTGCATTTAATTCTTTCCGACTCCTTGAGCAGCCTACTGGCTGTTAGCGGCTTCTCCCCGTCGAATCCACTTGTTCAGGACATTCAATCTCGTCTTAGCTCACTGGATCGAGCAGGAAAAACGGTCGTTCTATGCTGGATCCGAAGTCAGGTGGGGATATGCGGAAATGATCTTGCTGACGCGGCAGCAAAGCGCGCTACGACAGGGACTAGAATTCCTGTAACACCACTACCTGCTCAAGACGTGTACCCCGCAGTGTCGCTGTTTATGCAGAAGCGATGGCAGTTCTACTGGAACTCGCTGAGCGCCAACAAGCTGCAGTCGGTGAAACCCCGCATTGGATTATGGCAGTCGTGCTTTCGGGACAATAGGGTGGAAGAAGTTGCCCTTTGCCGGTTACGCATAGGTCACACATATGCTACGCACCGTCACCTGCTATTGGCTGGCGACAGACCATGCTGCGGTCGATGCTCTGATCCACTGACCGTGCATCACGTACTGGTCGCTTGCCGCCACCTTACGGCAACGAGAGCGCAGTTTTTCGGACGCCACGTCCAGAGTCGCACGCTATGCGACTTTTTAGGGGATTCTTCGAACATCGTCGGGTTTGGTAAAGTGCTCCAGTTCCTTCGCGCTATAGATTTTCCTGTAATCTTCTCATCATGATGCTAGGGCCGATCATCATGGCTCTATAGGGTGACCTGATTGATGCACTTCTCTGATTGACGGCTCTGCATGAATCGATAGTTATGGACGCTGCATGACCTTTAGCAGTCGATGCGCCCTAAATCCCCAAATCATCATCATCATCACGTGTGGTTTTCCCGTACTTCCCTCTCTAAAATGACCACCAGACTTTTTAGGACGAGCCGGCTTTTGAGCGGCATTGGTAAGGGAGATCCGCTCTCCTCTCTTGGCAGATAACGGAAGTTGAAGCCAGTAAAAAAGAGTTAGTGCCTAAAACGCAATTCCATAGCCAGTTGGTATGTCTGTGGATTGCAGAGACCATGCTATCGCGCGAAATCAACGCAATGCTATCCAACGAAAGCAACACAACAAGGTCTCTGCCACTAATTACAATAAACGACACCCTCTCCCCCGCACGCCGGCAAGCCGCACAGCTGGCTCGACTACTCGAAGGCTGCTCTTAGTCATAAAATATGTCTGGCGGGTCTTGTACAAGCTGTCAGATCTAGTACGCACGTAGCTTGCAATTTAGCGCAGTGTGCCAAAGGCGTGCAACTCGTACTGCTTCGTGTAGTGTTGTATGAATAAGCTGAAATTGGTGCATGCAAAGACCCATTTGCCTTGTAAACCCTTTTGGTGGGAAACTTGATGAGGTGGGTCTCATATTTTCCTCATGCAATTATCTGCTTGTTTTTTATCGTATTCCTGTCATCCAAAGAAATACTCCTGTCCTCGGACAGCCTCAGAAATTAGGTCAGAAACTTGCAACCAATTGCTTTCCATGCACAAGTAACACATTGTTGGTGGATTCCAGTGTGTCTGGTTATGTTATTTGCCCCTTCTGCCTCCATCCCTTGCATCCATGGCTGGACTTCTGTCCAGCCAGCAATGCAGAATGTGCAGCCAAGATGCAAAAAATATGGTTCAGAAGGTGATAATTGTTACATTCCTGCCCCATTCCCTCAGGTAATATGTTTTGCATCAGTCTCATTGGTGGCTTCCATGAACAGTGTAGTCTGCTTTGTTTGTTTCAGAGCAGCCAATATCCTATTTGGCAAACCAGGGTGACTGCTTCATTGTGACATCATGCTTTGTCCCGAGTGTGAGGTGGCAAAGACATCTGATGATGACCCAATTGGACCTGCCGGATGTGAGTGCTTCTTAAATCTTACTAGAAACATTTTTGAGAAAATTTGGTGTGGCAGGGACATTGGAACAAATATTGTTTCCTGAATTTTGGCCTGTGTCGAAGTAGTTTGCCTGGTATATGTCTGTTTGGCGGAGAGCCGGCTGGCCAGCTACTGTTTCATGTAAATTGCCATTATCTTCCTGCAAGCAAAGATAAGTAAATATGTTTCTCTTCATTCCCTGGAGCCTCCTGCCATGCTGAGACCTTGTGATAAGCAGTTGAATTGTGTAAAATCTTGCTGTGTTAGCTGGTCTGTTAGTGTTGTGGGGTTGTCTTGTGTTATGACCTGACACACCCCACCCGGCCACAGTGACCTGGCTCATGCCATGTGGAAGGCTGACCTGTGTTATGACCTGACATGCCTTGCCAGGCCACCATGCACTGGCCTGTGCCACATAACCAGCTGACCATGTTGTGACCTGACTGGTCTCACCTGGCCACCATGCAGTGGTGTTACCAGAGCGGCCAGATGGCTGTCAGCCACTCTCTGACCTCAGCCACGCCACCATCCTCACGGACATGCTGCAGCAGCTGTGGCAGGAGCAGCTACTCTGTGATGTCACAGTGCGGGTGGAGGAGCGCCAATGGCGCGCCCATAAAGCAGTGCTGGCTGCTGGATCACCATACTTCAGGTGGGTGGCATGTTGGTTGGCCAATTGGCACAGATGGAGGTGCCCAGCTTGGTGTACATGGTGCACACCGTGCGTGACTAGATGTGATCTTAAGATCCAAGGCACCCTAGTTTCTGAGCTACACACCCACAGAAATGGAGAAAGGTATATTGGGGGAGTATTTCAAAGTCATTTTAGCATCCATGATGTCATAATAGCATCATTCAAATCCTGCCGTCCCGTAAACCATGTGGCGATCAAGGCCAAGGCAAATATAACTGTCAAGACGTTCATATCTGACGTTCGTGAGCGCGATTCCAGATATAAGGTGCGTCGATGGGCTCTCAGTCGAGGTTATGCGAGATACGATGATGTAATCAAACCATGACTCATTGAAGAGCGCATTTACTAAACAGTGAATTGTGCTGTGTGCAGCAGTCTGCTCTGCTTAAAAGCACACCAATTGTTAGAGGTCAGCTTGTTTCAACCCATCCGGTGCTTGCATCAGTATCTTTAAATATGAAACATTCCATTCATTTCATCAGCTTTTGTACTGTACCAAGCTCCAGCCGCAACGTCCCATCTGGATTAGCCGTTACATCACGATCTATTTTTGCTTGTGATTTTGTTACATCACCGTGCGTTTTCATTCTTCAACCACCTGTCATCAACCATCGGTGTTGTGATGCTTCAGTGAAACCTTAGCCGCCATGAAAAGGCTAAGATGGATGTTACTTCCCATAATGCCTGTCATGCTGCCAAGCCTGCGGCACAGATCCGACAAGTCCGCAGATGGCCATGCAAAACGCAGCGCTGCGCCTGCACTCCGGCTGTGATGATATGGTCTTCGTGCAGTTTGCATGGGGTGATGCTGGCCTGCTCTGCGCGCAGGACCATGTTCACGAGTGACTACGTGGAGAGTCAGGAGCCAGTCGTGGGGCTGCACGGATTTGACAGTGACACCTTCGACGCCGTCCTAAACTACATTTACACGGGCCATGTCGAGGTGAGGACCGCCCGAGATAAAACGTGGGGCGTTTCTGATCACTTGATTGCGTCTGACCACCCCGAACTTGCTCTCAATAACGCTGTTCTCAAAGTAAGCACAGTCTTATCGATAAGTCGCCCGTTTGGTGGCGATTGGCCAGCAAAATGCCAAAAGGGTGCCATTATTACTGGTCGCTGGTCCAGCTGGCCTTGCTACTGTACTGTGCCTGCTGTACTGTGGGGCAGGCACTAGGCCTGCTGGACTCTGTCAGCACTGCGTTCTAGGTGGCACATCTGTACTTGCCCCATGTTTCAATTGCGGTGGCCAAGTCTACGCTATCTTCCAGCCGAGGTGGCTATGTCCACCCTGTTCTAGCTAAAGTGGTCGTATCTGCTCGGTGCTCCAGCTGAGGTGGCCGTGTGTACCCTGTTCTAGCTGAGGTGATCTCACCTGCTCGGTGCTCCAGCTGAGGTGGCCGTGTATACCCTGTTCCAGCTGAGGTGATCTCACCTGCTCGGTGCTCCAGCTGAGGTGGCCGTGTGTACCCTGTTCCAGCTGAGGTGATCTCACCTCCTCGGTGCTCCAGCTGAGGTGGCCGTGTGTACCCTGTTCCAGCTGAGGTGATCTCACCCCCTCGGTGCTCCAGCTGAGGCGGCCGTGTGTACCCTGTTCTAGCCGAGGTGATCTCACCTCCTCGGTGCTCCAGCTGAGGTGGCCGTGTGTACCCTGTTCTAGCCGAGGTGATCTCACCTCCTCGGTGCTCCAGTTGAGGTGGCCGTGTGTACCCTGCTCCAGCTGAGGTGATCTCACCTCCTCGGTGCTCCAGCTGAGGTGGCCGTGTGTACCCTGTTCCAGCTGAGGTGATCTCACCTCCTTGGTGCTCCAGCTGAGGTGATCTCACCTCCTTGGTGCTCCAGCTGAGGTGGCCGTGTGTACCCTGTTCCAGCTGAGGTGAGCTCACCTCCTCGGTGCTTCAGCTGAGGTGATCTCACCTCCTCGGTGCTCCAGCTGAGGTGATCTCACCTCCTCGGTGCTCCAGGTGAGGTGGCCGTGTGTTCCCTGTTCCAGCTGAGGTGATCTCACCTCCTCGGTGCTCCAGCTGAGGTGATCTCACCTCCTCGGTGCTCCAGCTGAGGTGATCTCACCTCCTCGGTGCTCCAGCTGAGGTGATCTCACCTCCTCGGTGCTCCAGCTGAGATGGTCTCACTTCCTCGGTGCTCCAGCTGAGGTGATCTCACCTCCTCGGTGCTCCAGCTGAGGTGATCTCACCTCCTCGGTGCTCCAGCTGAGGTGATCTCACCTCCTCGGTGCTCCAGGTGAGGTGGCCGTGCCTGTTTTGTTACAGCTGAGCCCGAACTCAGCGGCCGCACTGCTGGACGCGGCTGAGCACCTGCAGCTGTCGTCGCTGCGCCATCACTGCCTGCAGTATCTGTCGGAGGTGGTGACTCCCGAGAGTAGCATTGCCGTCTGGCGACTGGCGCTGCTGCACGGCTCCGCCGAGCTGGCGCACCGCGCCCTGCGCCTCGTGCTCGACAACTTCAGCGCGGCGGTGCGCGACGCCGACTTCCTGGCGCTGCCCGAGGAGGCCATGGTGACGCTGCTGCGCGCCTCTCACATCGCCGCCCGCGAGGACCAAGTGCTCTATGTGAGTCGGACAACGGCAACGGACGCCGCGCTTTTGCAGAGGCTGCCTGGGGGGGGGGGGGGGGGGGTCGGCGACCGCCAGAGGTGCCGGGTCGGGCCGCGAAGACTGGTCTGTGTGGGGTAACACAGCAGCGCCAGACAGGCTTCGGTGCTAGTCCCGCCTCTGATGGGTGATATCGCTGCTGCCTCATCTGGTTCTTTGATGCACATCCAAGCAGACGGGCTATGTTATGCTGTGCGACACTCCTGCCGGGTAAAATGAAAATGAACCATTCCCAAGTCGTGAGCACTGACCCGAGGTCTCCGAGCCGTCGATGGGCTGGCCACTGACGCCTGGGTACACCTCTGACCGTGGGGCGGGACCCGTCGTCGGCTGCGGTGTATGGGGCGGCCGGCGTGTGACGGCCGGTCGGGCGTGTATCCAGGCACTGTGCCGGTGGACGGAGGTGGACACGGAAGGCCGCCTGCCAGCCTTCCGCCGCCTGCTGCGAGACGTTTGCGTGAGTCAGCTGGACCTGTTCAAGCTGCGCTCGGCCACTGAGCTGCACCCCTGCCTGCAGGACCCAGGTCAGCCAGTGATGGGCAGCTCCGGCCCGGTGCTGGGCACGTGTCCACAGTTGACAGTGGGCTGCATTCCTGCCTGCAGGACTCAGGGCAGTGGCTGACATCGTTGACCCAGTGCATGGCACGTGCGCAACTCGAAGCTCACTGCGTGGCTTACCTCGGTGAGCACCTGGTGGCCAGCTGACGATGGGCCTATGCTCTTTGGCGGCAGAGGTGCGCGCGTACCTGGACTCGCGCCAGGAGGAGGCGCTCAGCAGCCGCTATGACCGGCCGACAGAGGGGCCGGACGGGCCGCCGGCAGAGCCCGTCCGCCGGTGCACCGACTCGCTGGAGGTCAGCAGACGCCGTAATACACCGCCACCGCCGCTGGACGGCTGCCGCGGCACACTGCCACCGCCGCTGGGCGGCTGCCGCGGCACACCGCCACCGCCGCTGGACGGCTGCCCCGACACACCGCCACCGCCGCTGGACGGCTGCCGCAGCACACTGCCACCGCCGCTGGACGGCTGCCCCGACACACCGCCACCGCCGCTGGACGGCTGCCCCGGCACACCGCCACCGCCGCTGGACGGCTGCCGCGGCACACTGCCACCGCCGCTGGGCGGCTGCCGCGGCACACCGCCACCGCCGCTGGACGGCTGCCCCGACACACCGCCACCGCCGCTGGACGGCTGCCGCGGCACACTGCCACCGCCGCTGGACGGCTGCCGCGGCACACCGCCACCGCCGCTGGACGGCTGCCGCGGCACACTGCCACCGCCGCTGGACGGCTGCCGCGGCACACCGCCACCGCCGCTGGACGGCTGCCCCGACACACCGCCACCGCCGCTGGACGGCTGCCCCGACACACCGCCACCGCCGCTGGACGGCTGCCGCGGCACACTGCCACCGCCGCTGGACGGCTGCCGCGGCACACTGCCACCGCCGCTGGACGGCTGCCGCGGCACACTGCCACCGCCGCTGGACGGCTGCCGTAGCACACTGCCACCGCCGCTGGACGGCTGCCCCGACACACCGCCACCGCCGCTGGACGGCTGCCCCGGCACACCGCCACCGCCGCTGGACGGCTGCCGCCGGCACACCGCCACCGCCGCTGGACGGCTGCCGCGGCACACCGCCACCGCCGCTGGACGGCTGCCCCGGCACACCGCCACCGCCGCTGGACGGCTGCCCCGGCACACCGCCACCGCCGCTGGACGGCTGCCGCGGCACACCGCCACCGCCGCTGGACGGCTGCCCCGACACACCGCCACCGCCGCTGGACGGCTGCCCCGGCACACCGCCACCGCCGCTGGACGGCTGCCGCGGCACACCGCCACCGCCGCTGGACGGCTGCCGCGGCACACCGCCACCGCCGCTGGACGGCTGCCCCGGCACACCGCCACCGCCGCTGGACGGCTGCCGCGGCACACCGCCACCGCCGCTGGACGGCTGCCGCGGCACACCGCCACCGCCGCTGGACGGCTGCCGCGGCACACCGCCACCGCCGCTGGATATCTGCCGTGGCGCGGCTCTTCTCCCGCTTAACGGGTCCGTCGTGCGACGAGACGCTCGGCGAGTGCGGAATAATAATGAGGGCCTTAACAAAATTATACGGGATTCGAAAATAGAAATTTTCCTATACCCGCTGTTTGCCTCGTTGTCTGCCACGTCATGTGATGTTCCGTGTTGGTTCACTCTGGGGTTTATGAGGCGTGACCGAACGTCTGTCGAGATGCTCACGTAATACCTCGCGTTTGACCCAAAGCATACATGCTGATTATCGGCGCGTCATTCAGTAGGTCAGAGCGCGTTACTAACCGGCTCAGAGCGCATCACCAACCGGCTCAGAGCGCGTCACCAACCGGCCCAAAGCGCGTCACCAACCGGCTCAGTGCGCGTCACCAACCGGCTCAGAGCGCATCACCAACCGGCTCAGAGCGCGTCACCAACCGGCCCAAAGCGCGTCACCAACCGGCTCAGTGCGCGTCTCCTGGCGTTCGTTTTGCGTCCCACCACCCGTCGCCACGCGCCGGTCCCCGCCGGCGCCCGGTGTCACCGGCCGGCCGCGACCCGTTGCCCACCGGCCCGCCGGCGTCGGCAGGTGATCCTGGCGATAGGCGGCGCCACCTGTGCGGGCTTCTCCTCGGGCGTCGAGTGCCTGACGCTGGGGTACGAGTCGTGGAAGTACTCAATGCCGCGCGCCGTCAGCGCCGTCAGCGACGCCGTCACCACCACCGAGCCCATGGCGCGCATGGCCGAGATGCGCACGTTCGCGGCCGTCGCCGCCGACGAGGAGCACGCATACGTGTTGGGTGAGTCGACGGCGGGGGGATGAGTGGGGTTGGGCGCGCCGCCAGCCTGCGGTAGCCGGAGCGCGCCGTGTGGGCCGTGAGGGTCCATATTGCACTGTGTCTGCGTCCGCTGAAACTGTATTACGTAAATATCTGGCGACAAATGCTTGTTCTGCCGAACAGATTTAAGGAAAGCTGACGCATTCTCAGTTTTGTAACATTAGCCTCTTGGCCTTGATATAAGTCGCTGGGCTATTCATTCCTCTTTATATCAACCTTCGCAATGCAAATTTAGAGATCGGAGGCCTTTCGTCTCGCATGACTGCTCTCGTTCAGGTGGCGTGCCCTGCGTGCTGAGCTATATGAAGTAAGCTCGCAGCTTAGTGACTTCTAGATGGCACCTGCAGACATATGACATGGAAACATATGAATTATGGTTGACATTTTGTTGCCTATGTCACTGAGGAACATCTACAGTCGTCGAAACCAGGGAGTCCACGGCATCCGTACTGTGCATTTTGACAAGAAAGTCTTCCTGTAGTGACGCTGTATGGTACCGGTGGTCGGTGTGGCGCCGCCGTGCCAGCCTGACAGCCGGTGTATGACCGCTGCCGGGCCTGACGGCCGGCATACGACCCCTGCGGGGCCTGACGGCCGGCGCATGATCCCCGTGGGGCCTGACGGCCGGCGCATGATCCCCGTGGGGCCTGACGGCCGGCGCATGACCGCTGCCGGGCCTTCGCCAGGCGGGTTTCGGGACATCGCGTCTCTGCGCACGTGCGAGCGGTACTCGGTGCGGGAGAACGCCTTTTCGCCGCTGGCCGAGCTGCCGGCTGCACTGCACGGCGCGGCGGCGTGCTGCGCCGGCGGACGGCTCTTCCTGTTCGGCGGCTGTCTGGACGCTGTGGTCACCAACCGTGTCTGGGTCAGTGTCACCATCATCGGATCCCCGCGTCGTGGCCGCAGGCACCACACGTCGGGTGCCGAAGGGTGTGAAGTGACCAGGGTTCGCTTATGAATTTGTGATTTTATTTCAGACTTGAGAAAGAAACATTGCCAGTTGGAAGTCGGTGTAGTGTGAAGCAGCCATTTAAACGGTCTGTTGTTGTTTTTTGTGTGCTTGCCCAGATGTACTGCGAAGAGCGCGATGAGTGGGTGGACCGGTCGCCCATGATCGGAGCGCGCAGCCATCACTGCGCCGCCGTCGTCCGGGGACACATCTACGCTATTGGCGGCATTGGTGAGTGCGGTACCACAGCAACCATGGCAGCCCGACGGACACCTGTCGCTGGCATGTCGGGCCGGTATGGCGGATTGGCCTCGGGGCTTACGGGGTAAGCATTTTTAAAGCTTTAGTGCTGACCAAGTTGCCATTGCACAGTAAAACGTGCTAGGAAAGTGAGTTCTAAATTGCGATTAAACCGCAGCCATTCTGTTCCAGTGAGTTCGAATGTTTCGTAAATGTCCGTTTTCGGTTGGCGGCTGTAACCGAAGCAGAATCCATTTGTGGCACGGCTATCGTCGCAAGCGTTTAAAGCGGAATGGTTTCTATGAAACTAGTATGATAATGGTGGTAGACAATAGGAATGTGTTGATTTGCTGATGGTGACGCTTTTGATTGCGCGGATGGATTTAGAACTAAATGGATTTCGTGTTGCAATGCTTTGTGAGTAGTGATTTTGTAAAAAAAGAGTCCGAATTCACTTAACACTACGCTGGGTTATAACCGCACGCATCCAAGTTATCGATATGTCGAGTCTTCGTTTAAACTCAGTGGTTGCCGGGTCCGACTCGGGGTGTGGTCCGTTCATTATTCCCCACGCATTGTCCCCCTGACGTTAAGCCCCGCTCTTGAGGTCGGCTGAGCACGGTCCCGACTTTGTCCTCAGATCCAGGCGGTGCGTACCTGAGCTCCGTGTCTCGCTACGACCCGGACAACGATCGATGGACGGTGGCGCCGCCCTGCGGGCCGCCGCGCGCTTACGCGGCCTGCGCCGCCGTTCGGGATCAGCTGTTCCTGATCGGCGGCCACAGCGGCCGCCAGTGGCTGCGTACCGTGAGGAGGTTGGTTTCGCGTTGACACTGCTGTGTACATGGGCCGAATCGGAGGCTGGTGCCGCGGCAGGGTCTCCCGCGGGCGATGCTTGCGGTGTCCGCCTTTACCCCGGCAGGTTCAGTGCACTGGAGAGCCAGTGGTACAGTCTGGGCCCGATGCCGTGCCTCGTAGAGTCCATTTCTTCCCTGGCAGGTTCAGTCCACTGGAGTGCCGGTGGTACAGTCTGGGCCCGATGCCGTGTCTCCGAGAGTCCATCTCTTCCCTGGCAGGTTCAGTCCACTGGAGAGCCAGCGGTACAGTCTGGGCCCGATGCCGTGTCTCCGAGAGCCTATCTCTTCCCCGGCAGGTTCAATGCGCTGGAGAGCCAGTGATACAGTGTGGGCCCAATACCGTGTCTCCGAGAGCCCTTCTCTTCCCCGGCAGGTTCAGTCCGCTGTAGAGTCAGTGGTAGGGCCTGGGCACGATACCATGTCTCCGAGAGTCCATCTCTTCCCCGGCAGGTTCAGTCCGCTAGAGAGCCAATGGTACAGTCTGAGCCCGATGCCGTGTCTCCTAGAGTCCGCCTCTTCCCCGGCAGGTTCAGTCCGCTAGAGAGCCAGTGGTACGGCCTTGGCACGATGCCGCAGCCGCTGGGCCAATTTGCAGCCGCCGTCTGCGACGACCGGATCTACTGCGTGGGCGGCTTCACAGGCTGCGACTACCTGCACACGGTGAACAAGTACAACCCGCGCACCGACCGCTGGCACACCGTGCACGGCCTCCACATGGCCCGCATGGGCCTGGGCGCCGTCACCGTCCGTGTGCCTGTCACCAAGGGCAGCGAGGTGTGACGCCAGCGCGGACAGCGATCTGTGACGTCACTGAGGAAGACGAGATGTGACGTCAATAGAGACGGCGGTGTGCGACGTCAGCGCGTGGTGTGACGTCACTGATTTCTTCCCGCGGTTTGTCACCTTGCCAGTCGTGGATGGGAGGGTCTGTCTTTATGCCCTCTGTTGGCACAGGTGTAGGTCCATGTGACGTCACATTGCTAGCCCAACGCGCGATGCTCCCTCAGTGGCCCTAGGCTTTAATCTGGACGTATGGCGCTTTCCCCCTCTTGGACTCCCTTGAGCCGGTCCCGATATCGTAGGGGCTGTGAACCCCGGCGTCCAGAGTGCTGAACCCGGCGTTCGAGGTATTCGGATGTGTCGTTTTCTGGCGGCGGGGCTGAGCCCGATCGTGCCCCAATCGAAACGTCTAGTCGTGGTTTGCTGGCTACAGGCGAGTCATCTGCGGTTTTGTCACGCGCTGTTTGGCGCTGGCTGTCCGCTGGGAGCCAAGTCCGTGTGCTGTGCGTGTTACAGCGCCGCTGTGCTGCTGTGTCTGTGTTCCGTCAGGACGCACACAGCACCGGCGACGAGCGCGAGTGCGTTTATGTTGTAGCCCAACTGTGCAGTGCTGTGGCGAAGTAGGAGTTTAATACATGGCTTGTCGCCGTTCATGAATCGCGAATCGATTCGGTGACGAATCGGTAAGTGTGTGCCCCGTTTAAATATTTGCAATACATGCATGCCATGCGATGGTCAACCCAGTTTTCATGCGGTGAGTTGTTTTCCGGAGCGCTATGTGGAATCACTCTGATGCCCTGAAATCTCGACATACATTTGGTTGATTTGTCGTCTGACTCTTCGTACGTCCCGATGGGACGTTAAGTAACACTCCGTAGACGAACAGCGATGTAAAATGTGACCAGTTGGTCTTTCAGGGAGAAAAGTGGAGTAAAACAGGTTCTTAATGCTGGGAGGTTCAGTAAATCTAGAAGAACTACGTGAAAAAAATGGCTGCCGTCACTCATCCAGTGTTGTGTATTGTACACGAGCTGTGGGCGTCAGGGCTGGGTGCATTAACGTGCATTGGGAGGGGGGGGGGGGAATAAAATTTGTATCGTATTGCTGCCCGTCAAAATGATATGCTTGTATCGCTAGTAAGTCTTGAGCTAGTCAGGAATGAGCCACTATAAAGAAACATTGCCGTTTCCAAGCGTCAGCGATGGGCTCTGGTATGCTCAGATAGAGATTAAAAGCGTAAATAATAAGGCCTTCCACTGCAATGCTAATGGTGATCATGCCAATGATGCCAATGACCACGGTTAATGATGCATTGCAGGGCTCAATAATAAGCTTAAAATAGATGTGGATGCCTGCAGGTCAGCTACTTTTGCAGATGGCGAAGATGAAATGCTCAACATGCGGATTAATTTGATTAGTACTTGCCCTCCGTCAAGATATGTTCTGCTGAGGTGCACATGTATATGTTACCAGAGAAGAGGTTATAATCTTCGACCTTCGTTTTACGACACCTGGCACCGACCACCGTTTTACGACCACCGATCACCACCAGCGGGAAGCTACCAGCACAAAACATTGCGTAAACCCGGTTTTACCAATCCTGTCATGCCTGATTAGACTAATTCAGAGTGGCTTGATAATGCTTTGATCATCCCAGCATATACAACAGTGTATGTCAAAGCCTTTGTATCAATGCAATTTCCTCCCATCTGTACTGCCGGGCACCACTTAAGTCCATGCACCCGCAGCTGCCATATTATTGAAAAAGACATATTGTAAACGGTGTCCGTGTTGGAAAACAAGAAAAAAACGAGAAACGATCTCCGCCGAGCCATTCATGCGTTTGACGTATGTAATGCTTCGGCAGGCGTCCGGAGGACTGCATCCTCAAATAGCACGTTTTCTTGGTATGCATATTTTTGCATTTATACGTGCCTCAAGTAATGTTGAAAAGGTATTTAAAATCTGAAAAGTGCTTTCTCATGTTCGGCGCGTGCCCAGCTAAACAAAATGGGCGAACTCTGAGGATGGCCAGCGGTTTTCTATAGCCTTGACCTGCGGTGTGTCGGCAGGGTTTTGGGCGGAATATGGTTACATATGTAGCTGCGTCGGAGAAAACAAAGGAAAGCGTAGCAGAGCGTTGGGAATACAGCTGGTGCCGGGTTGCACCTGAGTACGTTTACCACCTGCAGAACTGAAGAATGTCTGAAGATCTCACGAAAAGTGCATCTAAGAACATTGCAAAAGAAACAGAAGATGGAACATTAAGTTCCGCTGAAGCAAGAGAACCGGAGAAGCAGAAAGATGAACAAGATGCACATGGCCAAGGTCTACATCACACTCAAATATCTCTCTCAGCTTGTAAAAAGATATCGTACGTGTCGCAGTTTTTGGTGGTTGCTATCGCTGTGACAGCATTTTGCTCTATAGCGTACCTCAGTATACGTAATCTGACTTCAAGTCACATCCTTCAGAGTAAGAAGATAATCCCTCGGAATGACGCATGGTTTAAGCTAGCTATATGCGTTCGACCCTTTATTCAAAAAGAGATTTTGTCAGAATTGTATCGCCTTAAAATAGGAATGACTTTGGATGATTACGTTAAGTCTCTTCGACCACCCTCGGCATGGAATTCAACACAGTGGCTGGACGTCACATTGCGGCCATTAGGCTATAAACTGTATTTTCAAGAGGTGCACCCGTGGAATAAAATTAATGTAAGCGACGTTTGGTCGTATCAAAACGACAGTTTCCGGAAGGCTTTTCACGAGTTCAAGGTAAATGACGTGCGCATAACGTCCAAGATGGGCGACATGGATACTTTGGAAGACTACGACAACTGGCATTATTCGGGGACCTCAGACGACATTGAATATGCGGTCTTGACAACCGAAAAAAGCTTGAATTCAACAAGAGCGGACTATGCTCTTTTGGGAGAATACTCTCTCGGTCCCCTTTACGGAGGATGCTTGAATATCACTGTCAATGAAACCATGTCAAAGCGACAAATGCAGCTCGATGTGAGGTTTAATAGCGACGTGTATTCCAAGTATAAGTCTCAAACCAGTAATTACGGCCAACAGCGGGTCAAAACAAACTTGTTTGGGGAGGCCGATCTTTTTGTGTACGACACCGGTGACTTTTTTACAGAAATACCCATCATTCAAAAGTTTAGTAAGTTTAGTATTCGTTCAAATACACTAGAGCGTCTTTGGGTAACGGGCTCCAGCCACCAGCGGGAAGCTACCAAAGCGAAACATTGCGTAAACACGACGGACTATTCGCAAACCAATTGCCGCAAGTGGTGCATAATGCGAAAACTTTTGAAGTCGCTGGAATGTATTCTGCCGTGGATGCGAGATGTGATACAGAAACCTTGGATGGAAAAAGATTACGGAAAACTGCCTGTGTGCCCAGATCAGGAAAGTTTTACGAAAACGTGGGAAATTCAGCAACTGTACCTCACTTCAACAGGAGCTAAAATGCCTCGCCCGGTACAGAAATGCATGGAAAGCTGCCCCGATCACTGCCTTTCGTTCAAGGTAAGAATATGGCCTGGCATATCTGTGGCCAAAATCGAGAGCAAAAACGTCCTCTGCACACATTTAGCAAAGCAATGGGTCAATATGACGGTCGCTCTGAAAAGCTCGGGGTCAAGGTTTGACCGTCTGTATGTGTGTTTGTGTGCATCCAGCCCTCCGAGCGTGCTGCGCCGAAGCGTTTGTTGATGTTTCTTGTTTTTCAAGATGTTTCTTGACGTCCATTGTGCAGAAAGGTTATAGAGGAGTGAAATGCGCAGGAGTATGTTTTCGTGGTTTCTCACACACATGGCTATCAACTTTCAACTATTGAAAAAGCTTGTTTCATCATAGCTGATGCTCGCTTCATTACCTTAAAATGTGAAGCACTCCTTTTGAAATCATTCGACAGGAGCGGAAGCCCGATCTAGTGCGGAACGTTGTTTCGCGAAACCAGTCATTTTCGTATCTGCTAGTCAGAATTTTGACGATTAACACGCGCACGGGGGCTGGTTGAATGGCAATCGCTCGGGGGATTTCTTCCTGATCTATTAAAACTAAAATTACACAAAAAATAATCACACAAACTTCACAGGGTTGACTTCTCTGTATGCGAACTCTTGGTCTGTCAAACTTTGAGGTTTCTATGTCGTGAACTTTAAGCAAGAATGTGTCAAACAAGGTCCAGTTCCAGATTTGTGTCCAAAGTACCCCATGGCCTCATGAAAACGTTTTGAATCTCGACACCTATTCTGGACAAAAGACTGCTGGTGTTAAGTGGACGTTAGCGTCCTTCTTTGAGCCTTATGAGGTTGTGAACAAATGCTATTTTCAGTTGTCTGCATCTGAATAAGCGTAAAAGATTACGCCACCTGGTATGCTCCTAAAAACAAAATTTTGACTTGCGTCATGTTAGGGCATTGGCTTACTCTCACCTTCGAGAAGTTCAAGGAAAATTTCCGTTGCGGTTCATGTTATTTATAATTTTGTTGCCTAAGAAACCATGTTCGAGACGTATTGCGTCGGCTAACATCAAGACAGCGTTCTAGAATTGTGCCGTCGCCTTGAAGTGTTGTTGCATCAGGTTGAACGATTCCCTGGAAATTGCCCTTGCTGACAGCCACGGCCTGACATTGACGTGCCATAGATCAGTGACCCTACAAGGTACGTCTCATCTATGGTCACCTACTTTGCTTTCAGGTAAGTCTTTTATCACTTGGAAGCAAATCAGTCGGCAGTAACTACGGTATAAGCTTGACCATCTCACCTGAAGTGGAGTCTGTGAGGGAGCACCGTGAGTACACCTTTGAGAACATGGTGGCCGAGTTGAGTGCCTCCATTAGCTTCCTGCTGGGCCTGTCCGCCATCGCCATCTACGACTGGCTGGTGGCCTTCGGCGTCTGGTCGGCCATCCGGCTAGGCTTGTATGAAGACGACCTCGACGGAGAAGACGAGTACTACGCGCCTGATGGCGAAGAGGCGGCATGGCCATCCGACACAGTTGGCGGCTTGTCGCAGCTTCAGGTGCTTCCCGAGGAGAGGGGCGAAGGCGGGTCTCTCACCCCCTCGGAGGACGGCCGCGACGACGCCGCCAGCCTCATCTGGTACGTGGAGCCTAGCGCTAAGGAGGCCGCCGACAAATCGACGTCACCCAAGGCTGTGGCTGCCCCCCGGAGCCGTCGCCGAGACAGCCTCGAACTGCCGACGGTCGGCAGCGGTCCAGAGGCTGGGTCATGGAGGCCACCGACCCCCTCCGGCGACGGCCTCTCTCAGTACGCCACGCCGAGCGGCGGCTCCTCGCAGCCGAACCCCGAGGCCTGACCTGGCCGGCGCCGGCGGGGCGCGTCATGCCACGGCGCGGGTCACCGGAGTCGAACGACGCGGCTGACAGTCTGGCCCGAGACTGCGTGCAGCTACCAGCCGTGTCGGCATTCCTTGCATTGTCTCTGGTACGATTCCACTGCCGTCGTGCCTATTGGCTATTATATTGTTTATTGGCATGCGCTATCGGCAAAATGTTTCCCGGGCTGTTGTCACCCTGAGTCACTCACCGTGCCCCTGCTAACAAAATGTGCGTCGTGTAAGTTTAGATGAGTGTCCATCCTTGCGTTGTTGCACCGTTCAGCTTGGATTTATTGGTACTGGGTGTGGTGCTCTCGCGTCGGCGTCTGGCGTGGCGCTCTCGCATCGGTGTCTGGCGCGGTGCTCTCGCAACGGTGTCGTGTGTGTCGCTCTCACACCGGTACCGGGTGTGGTTCTCTCGCATGGGTGTCTGGCGTGGCTCTCTTGCATCGGTGTCTGGTATGGCGCTCTCGCATCGGTGCCGGGTGTGGTGCTCTCGCATCGGTGTCTGGCGTGGCGCCGTCGCATCGGTGCCGGTTGTGGTGCTCTGGCATCGGTGTCCGGCGTGGCACCCTCGCATCAGTGTCTGGCGTGGCGCTCTTTCATCGGTGTCGGGTGTGGTGCTTTCGCATCGGTGTCTGGTGTGGTACTCTCGTATCGGTGTCGGGTTTGGTGCTCTCGCATCGGTGCCGGATGTGGTGCTCTCGCATCGGTGCCGGGTGTGGTGCTCTCGCATCGGTGCTTTGTGTGGCGCTCTCGCATCGGTCCTGGGTGTGGCGCTGTTCATCATTTCCACCGAACTGATGGTAGTCCAGTATGGGTGTTTTGTGTGGTGCTCTTCCCAATTTTCCATTAAGTCTGATAAGCTGTTTTCGCTGTCTGCTCCATTCCGTTCATTATTGCAATTGTTTCTCTCCGTCTTCGTGGCGTTGCCTTGATTTTTCACCGTATAATTATGGACTGCCACCAATAAACTTAAGTAGGACTCCATCTACTCACCACTAACTGGAACAAACACAGATGTGTCAAAACGCAGTGCAGTCTTGTCCTGAATACGCTGATTTCTAGTGTAATGACTAGTTACGTGATTAGTGACCTCTAGTGGTGTGACCCTATCAGGTGCACAGCTAGAGCTTGTGCGGGGATTTGCGAGGGGCGGGGCTTGGACTTTTTTAGGACCGAGTCCCAGCCCTATTCGCGGTACCATTGCGCTGCGATCAGATCACAGACACCATAAATGCTAATTACTGCACAGCTGATGTGGCAATGGCTTATCAACGTCGGTTTGCCCTAGTGCCGAAACCAATTGTCTCAGCTATGTATACAGTGTGCATAATCATTTACGTATGCTCAGTGCAATGTGTATATCTGTTCGACTTTCTACTGAAATTGCCACTTAATTACTGATGGTGTGCGGGGCATTGCCTTGCCAATGAAGATCAGTGCAGTGTGAAGTCAAAGCATTTCTTTGTGCACCGTATTGCGAAATTATACTCAGTAACGTCGCGATCAAAACACTGCTCGATTCTCACGGAAAGAAAGGGGGGGGGGGGCTTAACTTCCATGATGCTCCTCTTGGTTGCGCTCATACGTGAAGCAACTCCAGCTATTTCTTTCGCACAGATGATAAGGTTCACGTTGAATCGTCCTGAGTGCTTCTAGTTTATTACGATACTTAGCAAAGCATTCGAATAAAGGCATGTCTTTAACAAAGGCACGATACAAAAAACTGAGTTCCTGGCCATTAACACAATAACTTCTTTAACAGCGCGAATGGCGAGGGTTACATATACAGATACAGACATTCATTATCGGATGGCATCTTTTCTAGGCTCTCGTTTACATATGAAACATAGGAAACGTATCCATTATCACAGATCATCCCGATCCATTGTTACTCTGCAGCATACAGGTGATGGTCATCAGTGTATGGTACTTGACCACTTCCTCCGCGCTGAGCCAACACGGTCTCTTTGTCAGATCGGTCAGATCTTTGGGATGTGTTTTATGGCAACCAAAAATCACTTTCCCCGAATAGCTATTTTTTTAACCTCAAAGCGCGAGATCGGTTCGTTGTCCTACTTTCCGTGGCGCGCCATCTTGTCGTCCTCCTTTCTCCACACAGCCCGTCATCTTGTTGTTCTACTACACCTTTCCTGGAGCACCACAAAACAGGGACGGGTCCATAGGGGAGGGATCATGGGGTCATGTCTCTTCCCCTTGAGTCCCATGGGGTTTTGACGCCCCGGGGAGGCGCCAACTACCATCGCGAAGGGACAGTAATACATCCAATTCGGAACCACATAACCTGTATTTTTATGAAACACCAAATTGCAGGGGCACCACAACATTCGTGCTATGCCCCTTGACGAAATCCTGCCTCGGCCCATTCCGCGAGGGAGCGCCGAAGTCTTCATTTCGGGGCACCATGACCTTTATTTTCAGGAAGCACCCAATTCCAGAGAGGACCAGAAAGAGTCCCGATCCATTATTCTGAAAGAGCCAGGAATTCCAGACACATAACTATGTTGCCGCCCTGATAAAATCCTGGATCGGACCCTTGGACAAGGAGGCACAAAATCTTTTCTTTCGGGGCGGCGTCATCTACATTCAAGAGGCACGACATCAAAGCAAGCCATAAACAAAGCCCAAAACCATAATTTCAAAAGGGCACCAAAATCCAGGGGCATCACTATCAGTGTGCCCTTCACACTGGAAAAATTATGAATAGGATCGTTCAAGGAAGGGGCAAAGCAGTTCAGGGAAACAGGCACCGATACCTTCTTTATCATTTGGGCCTTACGACGCACATAGCTGCTGAGGCAATATGGTGTCGCCTGCCTCTCACCCTGGCAGGAAGTGCGGGCACCATGGGGAATCGAACCCCGCATCTCTGGCTTCCCAGGCGCGCAGTAGTTAACGCAGACGCGCTAACCCTTACACTATTGTCGCCCTAACCCTCTAACCAGCAACCTTCTTTTCGAGCCATTATCACATTTATTTTCTAAAGGCACGTAATTCCAGGAGTCATCACAATATCCATGCCTCTCCATTTTCTAAATCCTCATCGGCCCATTCGGCCATGGGGCACGTTTCTTTCGGACTACCACTGCATTTATTTCCTTGAGACACCAAGTGCAAGTGGGCGATTGAAAGAACAATTGAAGGTGGTCCAAAACTTCCCTATCAAGGGGCACCGGAATACAAGAGCACCACAATTCTTCTGTCGTACACCCTGACGAAACCCTGGTTTGGCACCTTCGTTGGAAAGGCATCAAGAACCTTGATTCTGGGGCATCATAACATTTATTGTCATGAGCACCCAATTTGAATTGGAACACCACAATCGGCCCAAACATTCATTTTAAAGCGATACAATATTCCAGGGGCACTTAAAATGGCCCCTAAAGCCATATTTTTACGAGGAATTAATTTCAGCACGACTACCGCCCACCCCACCTCTTGGGCTCTGAGAGTCCCACATGGGTCCCGAGAGTCCCTGTTTGGTCCCATGGGGCCGAAAATCAGGGGTCCGATTAAAGGGTCCGAAGCGCGAATCAGAGGTCGTATGGAGGGATAAAGCCCGAAGGCCGGACCCTATAATGTCAGAGTAGCTCTAGCACTGATCGGAGGTCCCGCGCGACTGTCTTTATTTGAGACAGCTGACTGAGAACAGCAATATCGGGCAGTCCGTTCCGTGCCATTCTGGGGCCTAGGGTTGATTTCCCGAGCAGGGCCAAGGCCAATATCTCTAAATGTCAATCCGAATGCATCCTTCATTGGTCGGGACACCGGAAATAATTAAGGACACACATTGCTGGTCAGTGACCACAGCCCCTACCAGGAGACCATGTGTCGGCGATGAGCCCCAGGGGAACCAGGAGCACATTTGCAAAATAGAGATGATGATGGGGCCCCGTATGTGGAAGTGCATGTTGTGCTGGTCTGGCCCCTCCTGACAATGAAAGGATTTATGAGAAATGACAAAAAAGGGTCCACGTGTACAATGAGACAGTGGAGAGGTATGTACCCGTCAGGGACACCAGTGACGGACGAGGCAGCCCCCGCACCATTTCAACCAGGGGCCGATAAGGCGAATGAGTGTCTCGGTAACAATTATTGGACTTCCCGTGCCAGTAAAGGGTCCGCTTGCATCAGCGAGGGCCGAGGGCCTGCCATATCGAGGAGGGGACCGGTTGTGATGCATCCTTCTGAGGGTCTCCATACGGCCCTGGGGGCTATCGCCAGAATAAAAGCCGCTGGGGATCCCAGGATGGGACGGAATGCCCTTCAGCTGCTGACCAGAACGTTATACCAATGCAATTCAGTTGGCTGACCAGTTGGCTCTCTGAACGGATTCAGCAGTCGCAGCATTACGAGCAAGAGAGATACGCCAGTGCGCCTTCCCATTGCGCCTTCCCGTAATCCGTCCAGACTACCAATCTAAAAATTGCACTAGTGGAACATCCGGCCCGGGAAACCTTTCACAAGCATACCCATTGACTTCATAAAGCGTTGGAAAGTACCGATTTCGATACGTGGTCATTTCCACCCGTCTGTTGACCGCTGCCAGGTGTTACTGCAAGGTTCCGTATCATGTGATGGCGTAACTACAGCATTTTTGTTCCGTTTCACAGAGCACCTCACGGAGGGGGCGCCAAGAAATCACGTACAGCCCGACCACAATACTTTCCCAGCACGCTGAACGCTTACACAAAACACTGCAGTTCTTTCATCTACACACAACACAATAAAACTCATTATTCTGGATGCATTGCTCATTCATGACCACAAACGACTTCTAAGCAAAACAATGAATCAAACTGCTGAGCTATCTCTTTGGAGCAGCATTACAAATATATCGCTTAGACAGGGAACAAGACACTGATGAATGGCACGGGTATGGGGTGATTGGCAAGCAGTGTTGTGATTTGCTGTGTTGATTGTGTTATTCACAGTGTGTGGTGCCAATGACGTCTTCTGAACGGCTAAAGAATTGCCTGATGTTGCCAAGTCAGAACGGCAGTGAGTGCTGTCCAGTGAAAAGTTTATTGTTGGTTTGTATGCTCGTGTTTTGTGCTCTGATTGATGTGTTTAAGGTGCCGAAATGAAATGGAGAGCCAGATATATAGAAAAGTCAGTCACCAGTCATGTAGAGCTTCGTGTGTCTCTCGCCATATCAGGATATATATATATATATATATATATATATATATATATATATATATACATAATTATCGAACGCTCTGTGCGATTCGGGCAAAAGCACCGGCCAGAGCTAACACAACACCATATCGGAGTGATCGGAAACAGTAAAATTCACGGTAATTGAATCTCCACACATGTACGCTGCGAAAATGCTGGAAAACTGGAGAAGGCCTCTTATTTTGTGAGCTCCATAGAGCTCTAGGTTCTATCCACCAAAAATCTTCGTATTGCGGCCATTGAGTTTTAATATTCTTATAAACGCAGTTTGTATACGGGAACCTAGCTTACTGCGCACAGCCCTAGAAAACTAGGCGTGATTTGTAGGCAAATACATCGAGCTTGTTCATTTTCGTCGGATCATGGTGGATTCTGTCGTCTTAAGGCTAAATATTTCGAAGAAAACATGGCACCATACACTTAAATTGGCTGCTAGATACCATCAAAATCAGTTACAAGCTTGATTCCTAGCTTATACACGATTAGCCGGGTAGTTGATGTGATCCACTGATGGCTGAGGACTAATACAGAGTTTTTGCTTTGTCTGTTGCAAGAGAATACAGAACATTCTATCTTTCAAAATGAATCAAAACGTAACGTGCAAGTATAATAGTCGTCACAGATTTAATAAACAACGGAAATAAGATGCACAACATCGGCGGCGTGTAAGATTGTTCGACAATGACAGGAACGAATTCATCGGCGTAATCGGCATAGCCGCGAATTCAGTCAACAACAAACGGCAATAACCGAAGATCAGATGACTGAACGCCCATGTGTGATCA